TGAGAGCTGAAGTCCACACATCTTAAAGTCACTGAGGTTGAGAAACACTGATCTAATTTATATCAGAGAATCCTTTCCGGCATTACACAGGGCAATCAGTGGAGCCCAATTGGCACTGGCAGAGGTTGGAAAACACCACTTCTGACATGGAGCAAGAACAGTTGATTGGAGGTTGTCTTTGAGGCAGGCTAGACCTGGGTTGAAGATGTGCATTTATGTCCTCCAGAACTGGTAACTGGGCCATCCTCATACCCAGGCAAGTAGGAGATGCAGATTAACCATATAACAGCTGTATGGGAGTTATTCTAAAATTGTCTATCCTAATAACTACAAGAATTTGGCATTACAAGGTTGAAAAGTTAAGGTTACAGGATATGCAGTAAAATTAATTGGATTCAGTCTAAATCCTGCTAAATGTTAGCAATTTTTTCCAGTAGAGTTCCCTGAATTAAAGATGTATAAATTATAAATTGGACAGGAAAATACTGTAGAAAAACAAATGAGCAATCTCAATCCACAGGAGGTCGTGAATCTTCCGGTACATATCTGTTAGCACAGGATATATGTGGGAACAGGAAATAAATATTGCTTTAATTCCCACAATTAAATCATTGTTTTTATATTTTTAAACTTGTTTGTTACTTAGTAGCTTCACATATTTTACTTCCAAAAGTTGGTAGTGGTCCACAAAAATACAAGTGTCCATAGAGATTCATTATAACATTCCTTGGGTCCCATAATTCACATTCAAGCTCGGGTGAAACAAAAAGTCTGGGAAAACATACAAACAGCTAAGGCTGTTCAGAATAGAAACGTGTACTGGTCTCACTGGATAAGACTTTAAATGGCTACTAATCATGGTGCTATGCAGAAAACCTCTGCATTTTTTCCTACCAGTTGTCATTCAATATGATGTGAATGAATTTGCTGTCATATTTTCTTCTTAAGGAGAAGTTCAGTGATATCTGCATGGATACAATGTGGTGGGGGATTCTTACTTATTTATTTACAATGTCCTGCCTTTCATTGTAAAAGCTCCAGTGGCCTGCAGTCTCCTGGCTTCAATTAAATTTTAAAGGAAAACAATATGGGGAAACTATTCCCACTGAAATTTTCTAGGATAGAAAGTTTAGGCATCCAGGGAGGTTTTAGAACAATGGAAAGACACACAACAGAAAACAACACCAGTAGAGGTGCCAGGTGCATCTGCAATGGGTGGGCCAAGTGAGCCAAAACGGCGGGTTTAACTGCAGAGGGAAGATCTCTACATGTACGAAAGGGCAGGGCTTCGATCCACTATTTGGCCTGTTTGGCCCCTGGTTCTTCTGAGTGGTACCCTCAATTGCCTTCCCCCCAATAAAACAGGCACAAAACACCCCAAGAGAAATCCTCAGGTGTTCTGAAAATAAAGTAAAAAAATAATAATCAGTTGATGAAAATGTCTGAGAACTTGCAAGGTAGACATTGGAAAAATAATACTACAAATTACTTCCACTATGAGAAAGTACATTCCTCTGAATTTCCGTACTGAGAAACACGAGAGAAAAGGCACTATTGTCTGACTCTTCATAGGCATCAGGCTGGTCATTGTGGGGGAACAAATGCTTGAGGGAGTACTTTGGCACAGCTCCTGAATTACTTTAATTCCCTTTTAGAGCCATTCAAGCTGAGTTGATAGTCATCACTGTGTTTTATGGAAAACAATCATTTAAGTATGCACTACTTGGAGAACTTCCTCTATCTGTTTAAGTCTCCTATTATTTACTTAAACAGATGAACTGATTTCTAGGAATATGCATGAAGCAGAAAAACTTATCCCTATTTACTTGTTCCACAGTATGCATCATTTTATACACCATGCATTTATTTAACTTCTTTTTCTGGTTACAAAATACTGCAAATGTGATAAAACTTCCATCAGACTGAAGAATTGTCACATCCCATGCCTTCTAGGAAAGGAAAAAGAAGGAAATGTGTTTTCTTACACTTCAGGGGACAAGGAAATACTGAAATGTTTTAAACCAAGCTAAAAAACCCAATGGCAGGAAGACATTGTCTATGCTCAAATTTCTAGAAAGAAATGGTTAAAAATAAACAGAGAAATAATCACTATAGTGAGTTGGAAGTCTATTCGTTTTGGTTAGAATATTTACCTTCCGTCCTGGGAGTCCTTCACCAGGTGGACCTCTTTCACCCTGCATGCCCTCAGGACCACGTGGCCCCTGAATTTGGAAGAAAAAATCTTGTGAATAGATGGTACAGTTCTAATGTACACACAATACTCTCCATATAGACAGCCTTCATCATGTTGTGGAATGTTCTGATCCATGCAGTGTTTTCCTGACACTGAAGAGCCTGGATCCCCATGGAAGAGGTTGATTTTTACTTAATTTACATTCCTTTAATTAAAAAGCTAGCATGCTGCAAAGCATAGAATCAGCTTAGCTTCAAGCATACTATTTATTTTCATTGACTTACTGATAAATTGTATTTTTAGACTACCCAACAGAAATTTTTTCCATGGTGTCCCATCAATTAAAACTAAATAAATACTTTAAAAACAATACTAAAACAGCATTAAAATCTGTTTAGATCACAGAGAACAACTCAGCATAAGATATAAAACAGGCATACCAACAATAATAGCAAGCAATACCGCATAAAATCATAATAAAGCAGTAGAAAAGTTCTGAAATATCAAATTCCTTTGATATTTCAGAACTTTGCTACTGCATTTTTGATCAGGCATCTGGCATCATAATTTGTTAGGCAAAGCTTTTGGAACATGTTCTCAAAATTCCAAATGTGCCCACCAGACCAAATAGGTTGCCCACTTCCACTGAAGAGAAAGGGGACCGCAGTAGAGTTGCTGTTTGCATGTCCGAGTCTTGCACTGAAGATTGCGGAAGCCGGACAGAATGTGTCATCTACCACCATACTACTATATTTATTAATTAACTATTCATCAAAAATATGTTTAAGCTGCCTCTCAGAGTTCATTGCCATCTCAAAGCTTGCTTTGAAGATTACAAAACATAAAAATGCAATTACAATTACAGGAAAAGAATTTACAAATTTACTCACTGTTAAGCCTGGCTCACCAATCCCAGTTGGTCCTGGAAACCCAATTCTTCCTTCCTGACCTCTATCACCCTTGTAAAATAATTTTTAAAAAGACACTTGTTATTGCTCCAAGTAGATTTCCCAAGACCATTTCTCTACTAGTGATTTATAACACCATCCATCCATTGCTGGGGCAATATAAGGCCTGTGATCATCACTGTTCTATTGGATCAGTCATGGTTGGATGACTGAGGAAGATGTAGAGGCTAATTGGGAAACAGTCCAAGATAAGACCAAAATGGAAGGAATATTGTCATACTTTTAATTTCAAAGAAAACTGTATCATAACTAAAAATTAGCATAATTAATGGGCACAGTTAATATGAAATATATTGCTATGGGTTGTTGTACTGGAATATGGGTCAGCAAATTAAGTATAATTTCCCTCTGAATAAAACATGTATAGTATCAAGCTAATCATGTTCACCACGAAAACAGGTTAATCATATTTTGTTATGCCTTTCTTTTAGCTACTTAAGCTAAATTTTGACCTTTCCAGCATAAACCCATAACATTTCACTTTTTAACTTTCTGTATAAGTATTTACACATCCCCAAAACCTTTATTATCTCATGTTCCACACAACCCAAATGTTAGAGTGCTGAGTATAAAATAGCAGACTACCACTGTGTGTTGTACGTTTTCTATCAAAGAACCCCAAATCCTATCAACTGCAGACACAGAAGCTTTATCATGTTGGTTTATCATAGGAAGTAATGAAACAAATTGGACTTCACTATACAATAAGATCTTGCTGAAATTCTGTGGATGCAAAACTTCTCAGAGAAGGAACTTTCTTGACTTTCATCAATGTATAAATGTTAGAAATCCCCCACCCCCAAAAAGCCTGTATTAACTCCTTATCTGGGCCAACAAGATAGCTTGTTGCTTACATCCTCCAGCCAGGGCTGTTCCTATTATTAGGAACCAATGAGAAGGCTATTGCAAACATCAAATTTTGAGTGTGATGAAAGGTTAGTAAATTGGATAAGGAACAAGTTGCTATTACTATATTTTAGCTGCCAGACAATGAGACAACAAGAGAGGGGCTTGCAAGATTTCTTCGTCATATCCTGACATAATTTGACTGGCTTTACACATTAGGCACCTTAACTTGCGGGAAAGGTATCATTTATTGAATTTTTTTTTTAATGTTTTGCCTTTGCCAACAAAATGCAAAATGTCACACCAGCTACTGTTTTTTTCCTTCCTCCTCCATTGCACATGAAGAGGCACATTCTAGCTCACTGTTCAGGTCAAAGAGACGTTTCAGTCTTTTTTTCTTGTTTTGAAGAAATGGCAAGGGCAACCTCCTTTCAATGCCCAGGGCCACATTTAGCTTTTGGTGGGAGGATCAAGAACCACAGTGGTGAGATGATGCTAAATGGCAAGATTAGAACTTCTTGATTTTCTTCTTTCTTTTTCAGATGTGTTAGGCCTATTTTTGGTGTTATAGTACAGTTTTCCTGCCTCCTTTTCTCAAAAGGCGAGAAAGCAAATCACAGTGTGATTAAAAAGTGCAAATGTAAATCATCGAATAGCTAAAAAGGGCTCCATTTGCCCATCCATGCAAGGCAATAGTATGTAAACTCCATGGCTGTCCTATCTGCAGTCTATAGAGCTAAATATGACTGCATGATCGGAGTGGACTCTGCATGTTTTACCTTAGGTCCTGGATATCCAATTCCGGGGATTCCTGCAGGACCATAAGGACCTGCTGGTCCTGGCTCTCCCTTAAAATGAATAAAAAGGAACTAATTAGTTATTTGTATAATGGGAAAATAAATGGTAAGACGTTACTTTGGGATTCAGTGTATCCAGATTCTCAACAGTCCTAACCTGATCCTTTATTAATTTCACTGATTTAAACTTCAGGCAAAGTAAAATATAAAAAACAAACACTTCTTTTGCAAACAAGGGTTTTATTCTGTAAACTGTTCTATTAGTTCTTCAGTTTCTACCTTTAATAGGAGAATTTCAGCATTTGTTCTGAATGCTTGCCCTGCTAGAGGAAAGAATTTATAAGGTGACACATCCTGAAAATTGGTCTCCAAGTGCTTCCAGATGAAATTTTCACTTGTACAATTGTTCTGAGGAGAATCAGCCCAGATGACGTTTTGCATTTATTGACATCCACCAACGCTGCTTCTTCCATTTTTTTCTTGCCCAGGAAAAAAAAAATCCATTAAGGAAGGATAAAGAGAAATCCAATGCTCTTTGACTGTACATGCTGTTGATTACAATTCCCATAACAAATCACCCATGTATATTCATCTGCAAATTCCTGATTCTTCTGATTTAAAAAAAAAAAAATTATGAAGCTTTGAAAACATTACTATTAACATTATTTTAAGATGTCTTTAAAACATTCATTACACACACACACACACACATATAAATAAAATAATTACACAGGTATATTGCTATTATAGAAAATATTAAATACTTCAAAGGAAAAAAAAACCTGTATCTATAATATAAAAAAATTAATAAAAGAAAAAAAAACTGTACTAAAACTACTTAAGGGAGAAAAATACCAGAATAGAAAAACAAAGAACCCAAGAAAACTCTAGAAAACAAGAAAATGAAAACAAAAAAGCCATTCAAATACACATATAGATGAAATAAATAAATATATAGCTAAACAATATCCTGTTCCTCCTTAATGTAATGCAACAAAGCAATGTAGAAGGGATGTAAAAAAGTAGTCTATTTGCATTCTAGATCTAGATTTTATATGTATCCCCACCATTACATATTTAATTTCCCTATGTAATAGAACTCTTGACTTCTAACCCCTTCCCCACCATAAACAACACATGGAGGCATTATCTGTTAAAGTTTTGGAAGCTGACAATCTGCAGAGATTTCAAAGCTGTGCCGTATTTGGTAACAGTCTTTGCAAAGGAATTGGAGCTTAACTTCTGCAGATGAAGAACACTTAATACTGCTCACAACATTGGGACTCAGAATTAAAGCCACTGAATGAGCTACATAACATTATTATAGCAAGTACTGTAGCAGGCAAAAGCTACCCTGAAAAACCAATGTGATGCATGTTAAGCTGCAACTATCTTTCTCAACTGTAAGTATCCGTGGTTCTCACATGTTAAGGGGGATTGACTTTGTGCAATGTGCAAAACCCAACCAATTGTGATTTATTTCACAATTAGGGTGATTTGTGAATCCAGCTTGGTGATAGAATTGTCTCTTAACAGTATGTTAGTTTAATATTGCCATATCCCTTCCAGCATGACTCCTTATCCTTTTTATTAGTGTTGTGTTGATAGTATGGTTTCTGTTTTTAGTGAGTACAATTAATTAAAGCTCCGTTCTTAATATCCCAAAGCTCTCTTACTGCCCTGGCTTCTAGTTCTGGTTCATGAATTGTTCTTGTACTTCACTGAATAATAACAGGTGGTCTGATATATTACCATCTTCCCATTCCAGGAAATACTTCCTTTCTCAATACATTTCCAGTTGCATGTTTATTTTCCATGGAGCAATTAATTAGCACAGAGAGTCTTTATTAAAGCTTTTAGTTTAACAAAAAATAGCAGCAAAAAATAAAGAAATTGTACCAGTGAGCAAATCGGCAACCAATGGACAAGAATTTTTGAAAACCATTTGAACTTGTTCATCTTTCAAATGACATAACTGAATTTATAAAGGGGGCATGCCAATTTCATAAAAATGCTCATTTATCAACAATAAAATAAGTTCTCAAAAAGCAAAATCCAGTTGGAATAAAGCACATTTGTTTCAACGCTTTCAGTAGGAACAATTTAAGCAACCATTTAATTTCTCCCTTGAAGTCAAAGGAGAGTAACAATTTATGTTTACTTGGAAGTAACTGCAACTATATATGTGTGTGTGTGAATGTGTGTGTGCGCCTTCAAATCATTGTTGATTCCTGGCAACTGCCTGGACTAGTCCCTGCAGTTTTCTTGGCAAGATTTTAGAAGTGGTTTGCCATTGCCTGCTTCCTAGGGCCGGGAGAGAGTGTCTGGACCCTAGAACTCATGTTCTCCTGGTTTCTAGCATGATGCCTTAACCACTGCACCAAACTGGCTCTCTTGCAACTATATTTAAACATAGGATATTTAGTGCTGAACCTAAGGATGCAATTGTATACACTGAGAGCAAATGCATTATTCCCCAACCTCATTATTTTTCATGACAGGTATCCTAGCATTCTTCCAGCATAATAGAACTTTTCCATAAACAATTGTAGTGGAATCAGTTAATCTTGAGCATAGGATTGCACCTTTAAATATTTCCTTTCAAGCTGGAATATACTTCAATGTTTTCCATCAGTTTTGATCTGTATATTTTATTAAAGTAATAAAAACTTATTATAAATCTGTTCTACATAGTAGCTTGAGTGGGGAAAAAGTTAATGCTTTGATGTTAATTATCAACAAGAAAACTTTTTTCCCATCAGCATGAAAAGAAGAAAAGCCAAGAATAACAGAGCTGATATGTGTCTACTTTCTTCTAATTATCTTGGCAAAGTTTCTATGCTGATAAGACTCCCACAAGGAGGCCTACAATTACAAAGGCAATAGAAATAACAAATATAGTATAAAGATAGGTTTTAAAATATGATCATTAAGTTCAGTTTCAAAACATCTAATATTGTTAGACAGACAAATTTTTGCAGTTGGTTTTATATGTTCAGATGAAAATATAGATATTATCAGGTTATATGAAGATAAATGATTCAAATTCTCCATGACTAGGTTTACATATGGTAAGACATGGTTTCTTTCAACAATGATTTGGCTCCAATAGAGGCGAATATGTGTAGCTCAGGATTGAACTGTGGAGTCCTTGGGGTTCTCTGAGCT